ATTGAACACATCTTTACACTGATCAAGTTCACTGCTAGAAATGTATTCTAAAGATATATTGCACATAAGTAAAATGGTGAATACACAAGATTATTTAGCAAAGATTGTTTGCAGTAGCAAATGAGTGATAACACCCTAAATGTCTACCAGCAAGAAACTGCTTAAACTGCAAAGCATCCATACCGTAGAATACCACACTGCCATGAATGAGACCAAGAAACTCTCTACAAGCTGATATGGAGAAATCTCTGAATTTATTAAGTGAAGAAAGTAAAGTGAATGAAAATTTGCATGGCATGCTATCATATATATTGTAAAGACTAACATACACACACAATTACACACAAACACATAAATATTTGTGTGTGCATAAAAGCTCTAGAAGTATTCAAAAGAAACTGCTAAACAATTGCCCATGAAAAAGGGAGCTGAGCAGATAAGTGACCAAAATGGGAAAACTTTGGATAGAATCTTTTTTTTTGTACTTTTTAAGTGTTAGAACCACATTGAATATATCATATATTAAAAATACAATTCAAAATATCTATTAAAACAAAGTTAATAAAAGAAGAAATTTTCTATAAATCTTCATTTACTTCAAGGTTCTTGCTTTTATAATAAGATGGTGTTGGTTAATAGTAGATATTGTTTTTGTTTGATATATTTAATTTTCAAAATAAAAAGGAAACAATCCATTCAAAAGATATTACATCCTGATTTATGAGTCTGGGACACCTACCTACACATGATTTTGATATTTTAAAACATTGGAATAAATTATCAAAGAATACACATTACAAATAGGAAAATTTAAATAAGGAACAAAAGTGACTTCTCATGTCTTCATTATCATAGATAGTATTTAAAAGCATCAACATATTCCTTGGTGATGAAGATGGGGGCATCCAATTATTGAAAAAAAAAAACATAAAATATGAGGAAAACTCAAATACCTCAGAAGAACTATGGAAACAGCAGTTGCTGAATAGTCAAGGAATATAAAATCCTGAAAGTTAATTATATGCTTTTTATAGCAATTTGAAATGGACCCAGTGATCTGATTCCACCATTTTAAAAACATCAACATATTCTTTTTTTCTATATCTGCAGGGTTGGGCCGTTAGCATTTGACAGGGGCTGTGGTAAAATTAGCTTGTAACTCTCTCACACATTTCACTTTACAGTTTACAAATCACTTTCATTTACATGATTTTATTTGATGCTTCATTCCAATATAAAAGTTACTCAAGGCAACTATTTTTATTTCATTTTTGCGGATCAGAAACTGAAGTTTGGCTTGCTTACGTGACTTGTTCAAGGTCACATAGCTACAAATTGTAGACCTAGAACTAAAAACATGCTGGCTCCTTGTCTAGTTTTTATTGCTCTATCCCAGGTTGTCTAGCTTAACTATCTCCTGCTTTGTGGAGCCTGTAGGAAAGGCTGCTCTGCAAATGCAGGACATCAGCACCTGGGGAACACATCCAATCATTCTTGCATTAAACCCTAATAGATTTCTCAAACACAGTCTTCCTCTAATCGTGTCATCTATGTGAGCAGTCATTTCTTTGGTGTGCAAGTGTGAGTGTGTGTGTGTATGTGTAATGATGTTATCTATATGCCATCGGGGCACCTGCACATTTGCATGTGGGGAAAGAACTGAATAAAACATGAAGTGTTTTATTCTAGTGGGATGCAAGATCCTCAAAGGATATTTACAAATGTACTCAAGTGCCTCAGAATCAATCAATCTCTGAATCAACAAATGTTCTTTGATTCCTTGGTGTGTGCCTAGCACTATGATAAATGCTGTAGGGGAAACAACGAAGCAAAAAAAGGGGCACCCCCACCAATACCTTGGAAGCCTCAATTTAGATAAGAGAAAATAATTAGATTCACGGCGGTCTCTAGCCAGTGCCTACAGAGCACAACATTCCCTGAGTTCCCTCCAAAGGGCTCCAGTTGGACAGAGAGGAGGAGCAGGAAATGCTCCTGAAGTTCCCTGAGCTACATCCTAGTGACCATTCATTGGGAAGTTATTTGAAGGGGCATTTTGGACTTTCCTGGTATTGGCTGAAATCTGGAAAACCAGCATCAGAGAGAGCTACTCATAGGGCCTTTTCTACGCAGAACCCTTAGTGCTATCGCCCGTTCTGCACCTGCCGCTTTGTAGGTTACTCTCCACCCAGCAGATAGAACGTTTTTAAAAAGTAAATGATTGTGTCTTTCTTTTGCTTATAATCCTATATGACTTCCTCTCGCTCTTAGACTAAAATTCAAACTCCACCATGAAAGACCTTTATCGGGCCCCTGCTTCCTTTCAGACCTCTGGACCACCTCTCTTCTCACTCATGAGGCTTTCAGACATGCCTCTGATCTTTCTCCTGTCCCTAGCTGCAGGCCTTTGTGCTTGCTGTGCCTTCTCTGTGGAGAAGTGACCCTCAGATCCATTTCTGGCTCCTTCTCACTGTTCAGTTTCACTTCAGATATTGACATTAAGGAAGACCTTCCTCACCTGACCAGTCTAAAGCAGCTCCCCCACCTCTTCCCTACACGCTATAGGTCATCAATGTGTTCTTTTCTTAGTTAGCACTACGTGTAATTCATGACCTTACACATTTGTTTTCTTTTTCATTGTTTGTCTCCCCCAACTAGAGTATAAAAGCTTTATGAAAGCAGCAGCCTTGTCTACCTTGTTTATTGCTGTTTATGCAGCTCCTAAGACAGCATGTGGTCAGTGTTTAACAAATATTTATTGAATGAATGAATGAGAAGCCTCAGAAATTGAGTGTTTATGGCTTTCACTATCAACTGCATTCCTTTATTGCTTGATGACTATTCTGAGATATTACCCAAGAATCTCCCCACTTCCTGTGCCTTCCGCACCTCCACAAGTTATCCTGCCATCTTTCTCCTACTAAATCAGAGGCACCCTTTGCCCCAGGGGGGATTAAGATTATTAGAGCAGTAATATAAAGAGAGGAAAAAAACCCAGTAAGTTCTGGGCTTTTTGAGTTTCTAAATAGATTTTTTAAAATTATTGCTTCTGATTTGTAAGAGCCAGGCCCTTTTCAGTATCAGAGGTAAAGCCCTGAAGGAATCATGGCATAAAGTGCATGACATAAGCAAGTGACTTAAAAAAAGAAAGAAGAGCTATTTTATTTAGCCCTGGAGACAAGATAAAAATGGAGCCAGTGGCAAGGGGAGGGAGAAGAGAGCCATGTAGGCAAAGATCAGAGGGGACATGATGAGACACCAGACGATAGTTGACAAGGGTTCCCATGTCCTCCCACCTACCCAGTGGGGCAGGTCCTGAAGGAGCAGGAGGGTCTCAGATTAGAGAAGATGCAGGCTTCACTATGCTGGCAAAACTTGAAGAGTCGGGAGAGAATTCCTGCATGCCAGCCTGGAGCAGCAGTACTGAAATAGACAAGTGGCATTGTGTGTCTAGCAAAGTGGAATTGAAACAGCCTCCTAGGTTTATTTAGGAGTAGCAAAGTGAAGCATACAGAATTTTCTGAGCTTGCAGGAGAGAAGTGGAAAAGGTTGAGGGATACCTTGTAGATTTAAAGGGGCCCGATAGGATTAGGACACAGAGATAACCATGAGTTCTGGTACTGAGAGGAAACTGCAGGGACCATGGACAAGGGCAGTAGATGCCCTAGGAATCAAAGCTAATGGCCAAAGAGTAAACAGCATCCTAGGCCAGCAGAGGGTGAAGGGCAGAGAGTGGCAAATCCAATGTCTCTTGCCATTTTTCCCTCATAACCCCTCGGTTGCTTGTAAAACCCTCCCCCAAATATAAGATGGCATGTGGCCAGAAAGGAGACAAGGAATGAACTCTTAACATGGCTCAGTTTATACCAAAAATGTTTCATTCCAATTTTGTGAGACTATATGAAAATATGCAGGCTGTTGTTTTTTTCATCATCAGGTGGGAATGCTACTTTTTTCATACTTGAGTTTGTGATAGGAAAATTCTATGCATTGCACATATTTGAAAGATGTCCAGAAGCCTCAGAGGTAATACATAGTCAGTGGTTGGCTACCATATGGTGTAGCAATAAAAGGTTCTGCTACCTCATAGGGCATCTCTCTTGTACCTGACTTGGACTGAGAGTTCTGAGTCAAGTAACGGCCCCATCTGAAGCACAAGCTTCAGGCCTGGAGTCAGAGGGATCTGGGTTCAAATCTCTACCTCTAGTTTTTGCAAGGTGGTTATTTGAGACAAGCATTTAAACTTTTAGGGCTTCAGTTACCTCATCTAGAAAAATAAAACAATCTTCAAAAAACTATTTTGGTAATTAAATGAGGTAATATATGTAATAGTTTAGAACATTTATTAATTGTTAATAGGAGCTCAAAGTGGAAATTACTACTGTCCTCATAAGAGGGAATAATTTTTATTTTGACCAAACTTGGTGTGTTCTTTTATCCACAATCATTTTATATTTTGTTTATGAATTTCCCATTGCATAAAGCAATATTTCTATTCAGTATAGCAATTTGCTGAAAAGGAAATTAACAAACGTGGTAAATACATGGGTTTTATACTTTGAATTAGCAAAATACACACCAATTATCATAAGCTATAAATTATAACATTTGTATTCTCACATTTAATTTAATCTTCTCCATGAGGAAGAGCAAACAATAATAACAAGCAAAAATTCACTGTCTGGTTTAGTTCTCCTTAGTAACTAGCAGCATCCATTTACAAGAGGTTTTCCTAGAAATTCATGCCATACATTGCAGACACTAATTTCTAGAATTTGAAGAGATTTTGAAGAGGACTTGGAAACTATCTGATTTAATTCTCGCATTTTACAGAGGAGAAAACTGAGGCCATGGGCAGAAATGACTTGATTAATGTTAACTAGTTATTGACAGCTTATTAAGGTAAAGCTTCTATTAGTCAGTCCTTGTTGTATAACAGACTACCCCAAAAGTTAGTAGCTTCTAAGCAGTATTTAGTTTTTGCTCACAGGCCTGCAGGTCCATTGTGGCAGCTGGGCTCTGCTGGTCTTGGCTCCAGGCTCCTGGTTGGGTCTAGGTCTGCTCCAAAAATCTCTTACCCTCTTGGATCAGCCAATGCCAGGGGCATGTTTGTGCCATAGTGGAGCTTAGCTGTGAAGAAGGAGAGGCAAAAAAATAAGATGCCTCTTGAGACCTCAGCTCAGAACTGGAACATTCTCACTTCCATCTACATTCCATTGGCTAAATAAAGTCAGATGAGCTAAATCAAAGAAGCAGTGGGACAGGAAAACAAATTTAATTCATTCTAGTTGAAATACTTCTGAGTCACTTGGGCCAAAGATACAGATATATAATTCTAATGAAGGAAGGACATAAGCAACCATGGTGACTCAATTTACCAGAAGATCTCATTCTTCAGATTCCCAGGTAAGCTTTTTTTCCCCTCCACCATGTTCTAAGCAGGCCTCTAACCTAACAAGCTAACTAATCAGTTAAAACTCTTTGATGCTGAGCCACATAGGATGAGCCCAGGCAGTAAGTTACCAACGTTGCATTTAGAGAAAACAACTGGAAAATCTAGGGTCAGTTTCACAGAAATGAAGAATAAAAGAAAAATAATAATAGTCAATCAACAAAGAATGTTTTCCATCTCCCTTCTGCAAAACCGAAACTCTTAGAAAGTTTTCATCTTAGCAAAAGGGGATTTACAGTTTCAGATCTATCAATTGTTTTTTAATTAAAAACGTATTGAGGTCCTCACGATGGGAGACTATAAACCAGACAGGCCAATTCTTGGCACAGGCAGCCAAGTGTGTGTGTATAAATTATATCCAGGGTGACTTGGGTCTGGCTGGGAGATACTGCAGGAACTCTGAGTTATACTTTCTCTGAGTTAGAACTACTAAAACATTCTTAGAATATTTAAAACATTGATCATAGGCCTACAAATGGATGACTCCTCTACCTCATCGGGGCTTCTTCTTCTGTCAGTAATAGTTTCAAATGATGATCTTATCTGCATAAATTATGTTTGCTTCCATCAGCCCAGCAGGCACCAAGCTGGTCCAAGAAGAGATGACCCAGATGCCCTTCGGTGGCTTGTACTAAAACCCAAATTAGCAGCCAAACTCTGGTTATCAATTGGTGACATTAAAGACATCAAGGATAAGACCTGATACTGGGCTTCTAAGATACACAGGTGCATCCCAGAGACTTGTAATTCTCCATTTATCTATTCATTGACTGGGAACTTGTGATGGATGGCAACTGTGAAGAAGCTGAAACTTGAGCCCAGCTATGAAGTTCATCACCTAGCAAGAAGGGAGAGTGGGCAGCCAAAGAAGACAGCTGAGAGTGAATCTAAGGAGTATAGCAGTCTATCTTCAAAGACCATGGAGAAATTATGTCAAATTTCTTTTGCTCCTATTTACAAAACCTGAGGAGAAAGGAATAAATATTTACCATTTGCCTGTGCCTGAGTGTAGGATTAATACCGATAAATCTTGGTATACAAACTCTGCAGTCCATTGTCTAAATGTTAAAGATTGTCAGTAGGTAAACAGAGTTGCCTTTCTGGCTTCTCCAAAAGAGTGCTGGAGGTTGTTGGCTTCAATAAATAAGAGGTTATAAGCCCATCTTGAATGTGAGGAAGAAAAAGCTCCAGGATCCCAGAACAAGAAATGAGCTCACCTAGTGAAAAATATCCTATACTAGAAGTCACAGTTCTGTAACCTTAGGCAACTTTCTTCCCTTCTCTGGGCATCTGTTTCCCAATCCGCAAAATGAGGGGGCTGGATAGGGTGAACTCTAAGTTTTATTCCAGACGTAATCTTTGGATCTAAAATTCTTCTCAATAGCCTCCCTACAGAATTGTCCTTTCATCATCGACTCATGCCATTCTGTATAGTATGCAGAAAGAGCACATAATTTGGAGATATATCCTTCAAATTTGAAACAAAGTTTATGGCGAATTTGTAGCAAACTTGGGCAAATAAAATTAAAGCATCTCTGAAGTCCACGTGGACTCAGAAGACATAGATTTAAAAGAAGGAAGCTGAAGATAACTTCTACCAGATCACCTCATGAGTATTCAAGAACATTCAAGATGGAATAAGAACAAACCAACTCAAAATCGCCATGCACTTTTTGGACACTTGATTTCATGGTTATCTTTTAGGATGGCACGGTTAACCACTTGAAGCAGGATAATGAACCAAATGGCTTTTGGACATGCTACTTGGCCCTGTTTGGGGTCTTAAATGTCCCCTCCTTCATCCCCAGCAAAAGTTTTAGGCTTTAAGGAATAGACTAGACACAGGGAGCTATAATGGAGACAGCACAGATTTAGCTGTCCAAGTCTATGTGGTTTCAAATCTCAGCTTCATCATTACCAAGGAGGGTGATTTAGCTAAGTCCTTTCTCTCTCTCTCTCTCTCTCTCTCTCTCTCTCTCTCTCTCTGTCTCTTTCTGCAGCTATTTCCTGAGTGGCTTCTGTGCTCCAGATGCTGCTAACCAGACATTGGAGTGGCAGTGGCAAATAGAGTTTCAGTCTTCTGGTGATTACTATTAAACAGAAGAGGCAGGTGGGTTTATGCTTATATTACAATGTGATCAGTGCCAATTTTGAAGTTAGTACAAAATGCTGTGGCCTAATAGAGTGCTGTCTCTTTCTTTCAAATTTAAAAAAATACCTAAAAACAAAACGAGCAAACAGAAAACCCCCAAGAATCCCTTTATTATAAATTTTGAAGCTAGCACAAGATGCTGTGGCCTAACAGAGTGCTGCCTCTTTCTTTCAAATTAAAAAAAATCCCTAAAAACAAAAACAAGCAAACAGAAAACTCCCAACAATCCCTTTAGTATAATGTTAGAAAGCCACTAAGTGAATAACATTTGTGAATGCTTATTGTGCCTCGTAAGTTACATACAATATCACTAATCCTCACAAGCTTTTTATAATCATCGCCCCATTTTATACATGCAGTAACTGAGGTTCAGAGAGATTATACAGTTTTCTCCAGGTTACATAGCCACAGTGGAAGAACTGGGGTATGAAGCCAGTTCTATGTGACTCTAACGCCCATACTTGCTCTTCCTGCAATGTCACAGTGCTTTCTCTTGTAAATATGGGCCCTTCTCTTTGTTACCCAGCATACATGACACAGAAGTCACTAAAAGGCAGTTGAGATAATGTAGTCAAACCATGTGAAAAGCCGATCTCTTGGGTTGCCTTCGTTTCCCTGAGAGTTCGCTCAGATTAGGGACGATAGGCCTCTGTAGGGAAAGAAGGTGAGGAGACTTAGCCACAATTTCATGTAGGTTTTGATGACTGGGTTTCCCACTCCAGGAAGGCCCCTTTCACATTTCTCAGTGTTCTCCAGTTTGCAAGAAGTGCTTCTCCATGTTGTGTGTCCAGTACACTCACAGTGCCGGAGCTGCTGTGTTTTATCCTTTCCCTGATGCACAAAGTCTAACAAAATGAAAGAGTATGTAGAGAAAGCCAAGTACAAAACATAACTCAGAAATGGTAATGTAACAGGGTCCACCACGGCTGCTGACTAGTCGCATTTGTAATGATTTTCTCCAAATAATGCAAACACTATTTTTTCCTGAGAAAATGAAATATGCAAGTGCCACGTTCCACATATGATGGGGGAGAACTCATAAAAGATTTTAATCTTCCCTTGTCAAGCTTCAGAAATGCAAACGGCCTCGTCCTCATTTTCTTTATGCCCTGGACTTCTAATTGAGGAAGCTGGCATCAATTACGCATGTGGGCACGGCTGGGGAGGGAACCAGAATAAATATTTGGGGAGTATCGTTACAAAGAACATCACTTCATCTTTGTGTCACCATAATTTCCCGTATCGTAGTGCTTTAGATTCGAGCATATGGCAATAAGGTAGGTAATGAGAACAGCAATTTTCTGAAACAACATTATAACTTTTCCCTCTTTATGGTCACATTTAGTTACAGTACATGCTGCCATTTAGGTATAGAGCTTTCTAAAAGCAAATCTCAGAGAGAAGGGAATTCAGGAGCTAGGGCCTAGGAATCTGAACCCCTGGGAACACAGCAGACCCTGCAGATGAGAATTTGGGATTGTGGACTAGTTAACTTTTGCTGCAGTAACAATCCCAATTTCGAAGGGGCTTATACCAACAATGCTGCTTGCATTTTCATGTTCTGTGAGGACTGTGAGTAACATGAGCTGGCTGAACTCTTATTCAGAAGCCAAGCTAAAGGGGTGGCCACAGTCTGAGATGTACTTGTCATTTATGCAAGAGTTCGAGACCAATCATCCAAGTGCATTTACTACTTCTGTTTCAGAGTGAACGTTTCATATTCAACCCTGATCCACTATCCAAAGCAAGTCAGAGGAAAAGGCTGTGAATAAAACAGGAAGGCTTTGCAAAGATGGAGATGTATGCTATGCACTTATGGGGGGAAGTTGACAGTGTGAACAATATAATCAACCACAGGGTGATTCCATAGCTTCAACCTATCATCACTGGGGGAAACTGTGTTGGGGCAATTCAGTAAATCAGCAAGTGAGCAAAGAAAATCATCACCAGTGGTGCTAAGGTGGATTTAGAGTTCATATAAATACATATTTACAAGTATCTTTAAAATACTGGTCTAAATGCCAGGCGTGGTACAATGCATTTTGGGGAAATAATGCTAAATACAATGACCCCTGCCATTCAGGAACTCTCCATTTTGAAGGGATAATAGTCAGGCCAAGAGCTAAGCAAATGAGTGTACAGAGTTAGAAGTGCTATAGAGGAACAGAAGCGGGGGAGGAAGGAGAGCATAAATGCACTGTGTTAGGTGTGTTGCACGTACTATCTTATTTCATCAGCATAATAACTTGGAGAGGACAGGAATCGTGCAAATGACTTAACCTGAGTATCAGACAAGTTTACTGCTGTGCCCACCTCCAAGCTAGAAAGAAATGAAGCTGAGAGTCAAATAAAACAGCATGAATGGGAATGGGATGATAAAGACAATTCATTCTGCCTGAGAGAAATCAGGAAAGGACCATGCCACAAAAGTGGCATTTCAGATGGGCTTGATGAATGAACAGCATTTCAGTAGACAGAAGAAGACAGACAGAATGTGCAGCCTTAGGGAACAGCACGCATCAAGCC